ATTCCATTTTTACTGATTGCTTCACTAATGCCCTTTCTAGCCAAAGAATCTAGTTCAGAATCTTGTATTTTATTTCCTTGGTCACTTTTAATGTGGAACACTTAACTTGATCTTTCCCTGACTTTCCTGACCTTGGTACCTTTTTTAAAAATTGTTTTATTTATTATTTTTATTTTATGTGTATGAGTGTATTGGCTGCACGTATGTTAGTGTGCCCTTGTCGTGCAGTGCCCATGAGGTCAAAAGACAATGTCAGATTCCCTGGAACTGGAGTTATGGATGGCTGTTAGCCACGATGTGGGTGCTGGTTCCCTCTGCAAGAGCAGTCAGTGCTTTTAACAGCTGAGCCGTCTCTGCAGCCCCAGTACCTTTGAAGATCACAGGCCAGTTATTTTGTAAAATGTTGAGTTCTCTTATATGGTGTGTTTTGGGGTGAGGTGGGGGATTTCCACTACCCATCGTTGGCAGGAATAATCAGAAGGGACAGTTGCTTCTTATCTCTTATAATCTTAACAGGTGATATATAATTTATATTTTCCAATTACTGGTGAGTACGTGTTATCATTTAAGAGATATATCTCTTAAACTACTTGTAAAGCTTCTTGCTTCCTTTGTAAAGAAAAGAAATGGGTATGTTCTGGGAAGGAAATTTGGGACAATGTACCCAATTTTCTTCAGACTTAGTTTATTCATTTATTTAAGTTACTGTGAACTTAGTGTTCCTTAAGTTATTTATTTGGCCTTAACATATTATAAATTGCATTTCCAGGTTGGCCCTGATGTAGCTAGTAGTTGACACTCAGACTGGCTTTTGTGATTTTTCTGACATGTCCCCATCGTTCTTAGGTTTTTTACTGGTAAAATAAAGTGTTTCAGGTTCAGGTGGTACTTTCCTGTTCCAAATCTTGAACTAGACATTTCTCCAAGGACCTCTGATTCCTTCTGGTAGAGTATGCTATATAGAAACCAAGATCTAGATACTTGATTTTTGGTTGCTCATTACTATTTGGTTGTCACTGTTCCCAGACCCTCTTAGTAAACACTCTAGGGGTTATACTTACATATACACATAAGTATCTGTCTTCAGATAGATAGATAGACAGACAGACTGAAGATGATAGATGATAGATAGATAGATAGATAGATAGATAGATAGATAGATAGATAGATAGATAATAGATAGATAGATGATAGATAATTGATAGATAGATAGATAGATAGATAATGATAGATAGATAGATAGATGATAGATGATAGACAGACAGATAGATGATAAGTGATAGATAGATGATAGAGATAGATAGATAGATAGACAGATAGAGGATGGATAGATAGATAGATAGATAGATAGATAGATAGATAGATAGATGATAGATCAAAAACATGTATTCAAATTGATATCTCTAGCTTGAGTCAAAAATAGGTTTCCTTTCATACTTGTTTTTTGTAATTTCTTTCTCATGGAAAACTTAGCATGGATTGTCCTGAACTTACTGGTTTATTTGATTAATTCCCCTTATACTGATTTCCTACTGTTGTTTAGTTCCCATGTAGACATTCTCTTTATCCTCCAAAGGTTCTGACAGCCCATACCAGATCTCGTCCAAATGCAATAAAGTTCTTGGGGAGCAGAATGAGGAAGCTCATGGGTGCAGATAAGGAGAGTCAGTTTTATTACTTTTTTTGCCCTTTGATTTTATTATTTAATCAAAAAGTAAAAATATATCTATCCTATTATTATATTTTTATTTTTATTTGACTGATTACTACAGTGAATGTAATTTATGTCATGATCAACATTTTTTTTTCACTCATAGTAACCCTGAGTTTTTTTATGGGCATACTGTCAGCCCACAAAGGGTTCAAATTCTGTGCCTGAAAAGATGTTGCTAACCTATAGAGCTTCCAAATAGTTACATTTAATGAACTATATCTTCACAATTATTTAAACATAAGGAACCAGGGGCTGGAGAGATGACTTAGTGGTTAAGAACACTTGCTGTTCTTCCAGAGGACCCAGGTTGGATTCCTAGCACACACATGGCAGCTAAAAGCATCCGTAATTCCAGTTACAGGAGATCCAACACCCTCTTCTAGCCTCTGCGGGCATTGCATTCATGTGGTGCACTTACATACATGTAGGCAAACACTACTATTTTATGTGTATGAGTGTAATAAATAAAATATAAAAAAATATGGAACCACTCCACTTTTCTAGTTTGACTTCAAAGAGAACATCTGCATCATTAAAAGAGTTCGTACAGCTGGGCGTAGTGGCGCATGCCTTTAATCCCAGCACTTGGTTGGCAGAGGCAAGTGGATCTTTGTGAGTTCGAAGCCAGCCTGGTCTACATAGTGAGTTCCAGGACAGCTGAGGCTACAAGAAGACCCTGTCACAAAAAGACAAAAAAAAAAAAAAAAAAAGGTGTTTTCCCACTTTTAACCACACAAAACGGCAAG